TTGTGCACTGCCTGGCTTCCTGCTCAGACAGGGTTAGGGACACGGACTTTATAGGGGCTTGCGGCGCTTGACCTGGGGTGTGAGAGCTGAGCTAGGCCAGCCCAGCCAGCTCTGTTGACAGTGCCCTCCCCCCAGGACTACATGTTCTTCGAGAAGCGAGGAGGCGCTGGGCCCTCGGCCATCACCAGTTAGAGGCCACCTCGGGGTGAGGAGACCATCACCTCAACGGGGATCCAAGATGGCGGCCTGTCCCGGCCCCTCCTCAGAGGCAGCCCCTTCCCTCAGTGTGCACTGCAGGGGACGGACAGGGATGCCCAAGAGTCTAGGGGCCACGGCGCCCTACCCCTACCCCTACCCTGATTCCCTGGCCTCCTTCACCTTGGCCCCCAGACACGGGTATGTGGGAGAGCCCTTCCCCTGCGACCTCCCACCCCTGTCTCTGGTGAGCCCCCAGCACACAGGCATATCTGCTTTCAGACTCTCCCTCCCTTCCCCTTGCTCTCACCCCCTACCAGGTCTCTGCTCATGTGGCCTGTGGAATCCAGAGCCCTGGGGTTTTCTGACGGAGCTGGGGTGGGGCGGGGGACGCAGCACCAAAGATGGCGGGTATGACGGTGTCTCCCCGCACTGGCTTGGCCAGCGAGTCCCGCCCTAGACGGTGGCACTCTGAGGGGGTCCCCCCTCCCTGTCAACAGCTGTAGGGCCTACCCTCCGGTGCCAACTTCCTTCCCCCGGGCCCTGCCCACGGTTGCAGCTTTTGTGCCTTATGCAAGCACCCCATCCTTTCCTCGCCCCGGGAAGGAGGCTGCCATCTTTGTATGACATGTTCATATAAACTTTGTAACTTTTTGGAGACTGGAAGATGTATGTAATGGGAGAGAGTAGAAGAGCTGGTGCGGGAAGAAACCAAGGGAAACAGGACAGCTGGGCTGGGGTGGGGGCCGGCCCGTTTCATCATCCAGGCTGCCAAGTGTCCCGGAGTTCAAGAGGGCAACGACATCCTCCATCACGGCCCTGGACAGGGCCAAGGCAGTTTGGGGCACGTACCCCAAATCAGTATGGTTGCATCTACCATCCAAGATGGCTGCCCCCCCAGAGGCCAGTGTGGTAGCTGACCGCCGTTCGGGATGGCTGCTCCTGAGGTCCTTTGTAGCAAGTGGAAGCTTCCTGTGCGTGTGATGTGGGGCAGCTCCGTCCCTCCAAGTTCTCTTGGTTGGGAATATGGTAGGCAGACTGGACTAGATCCTTCTATGAACCAGCCAAGGGAGCTGGAGCCCTCAGAGGCCAAGGGGCACCGGAGGAGACGCTGGTCAGTGCCCGACGCCGGGCTCCTCCTGTACCTGCCCACCACACGATCTCCCCGGGTGGGAAATTCTGCCCTGGTAGGACCAGGTTCTGGTTCTGCTTGGTCCCGCAGGGCCAGGCCCTCGATCCAGGCTGGTATCCCCGCCCAAGGGGGCAGCGCTCAGGGCCGGGCCAGGACATAGCGACTGGCGGCGGAGAGATCCCACTGGTAGTGCTCCAGGATGCGTCGGCAGTCCGCTCTGGACCGGCTACTCAGATGGAAGAGCTGGTCCACCTGCGGGCGCGGGAGGGAGGGCAGTGGGTGCCGGGGGCCGGGGCGGGAGCGGTGCGAACCCGAGAGCAGGGTCTGGCTTTACCTTGAGGTTCCGGATGGCAGAAACCACGTCTCCCCCAGTGGCCCTCAGTGCTGCCTGGCACTCCTGGTGGGTGACTCCATGCACGCTCAGCTCCACCTGCGGGGCACGCAGCCTTGCTCAGGCCACTACCCCTGCCCGGAGGCCCCTCTGGACACCAGCCAGTTCAGGGACAGCTCACCTCCACAATCCTCCTCTGCAACTCGGGGTCGGGCAAGAGGCCTCCAGCGGGGACGGTGACTTTGCTAGCTCCAGGCGCCCCCGAGGGATGGCTGTGGGGGGGTTCCCTTTTGGGCCAGGGAGGCCGCTCCCTGGGGGGCTGGCTGGGCTGAGAAGGGCTGGAGGCAAAGGGAGGGCGGGATGGCAGGCCTGGGGGTCCCTGGGGCACGGCTCTGGCATGACGAAGTTCGGGGGGGCTCGAACCACCCCCTGTGGGGCGGGGGCCCGGGGACAGAACGGACTCCAGACTCTTGGAAATGACTGTGCAGTTGAGAAAAAAGGAGCTTGAGAGAAAGCCCAGACGCGGGGCCCTGCCTTCTCCCCGCTCTGTGCGCTGCTCTCGGGGGGACCCTCGGTTAGGGGCGCAGCAAGGTGTGCCGAGGTAGCGGAAGGCCCCGAAGAGCCGAGGTGGCAGGAACTGCAAGGGGGAGCGGGCAGATCCTAAAGTTCAGCGAGGCTGTCGACTCACATACGCAAAGGTCGGGACTCGGGGTAGGGGCAGCATCGGAGGGTCGTTCTTGATTTCCTCGGAGACCCTGGAAGACGGGTCCCCACCAGCCACACCCACCTTTCATCCTCTGCAGGGGCACATTCCTTCTCTGGCCCCGTGCTGGAGGTAAATCCCGAAGCTTTGCCTTCCCTCTGTCCCTGTTGGAGAGAGTGATCCCGGTCACTCTCCACACCCCCACCCTACCACTGGCCTGGCAGTGTCCTCCCCCCACCACACACACACTCTTTCAGGTGCTCACCCATCTACGCTTCCCTGATGTCGCTCCCCCTGGGCAGGGGAGACCCTGTGGACTGGACGGGTGGCTGGTGAGCCCCCCGCATCTGCCAGCGTCACTGCCGAGGCTGGGAAGCTGCCCACCTTGAATGTGCGGCCGTTCTGGCCCTTCCAGGCTGCAGAGTCAGGGCTGTGGGAAGGGGTGAAGGGGACAGAGTGGGGGCTGGGCTCGCGCCCACATTCAGCTTGCAAGCTGTGTGCCATGGAGCTGCATCTGCCTGGAGGAAGGGAAGCTTTTTTCTCCCGAACACAAAAGGGCTCTATGGGCTTGGTGGCTCCAGCCAGAGGCCACAACGGTAGTGCAGCTCTGGGGGGGAGGGTGCCTGTGGGAGAAGGGGGGAGGCAGAGGAGCAGGGTTCAGGGAGCTGAGGAGCAGCACATCGAGACCAGGGTCAGGAGGGTTGGCTGGGAGTCCTCCTCCTGGGAACGTGTGGGAGGCATGAAGCTCTCACCTGCCCTCGATGATGGTGATGGGGTCACCAGTCTGCATCCTTAGGGCGCCTGGCTCCGTGACATCCCGCACACAATGTCCCTCAGGAGGCCAGGCCTGCAGAGACAGGAGGAAAGGGGGGCAGGGCTTGTGGCCTGAGTCCGAAGGGTAATTTCGTGGGAGCAGGGAAGAAAGGAGACTCCTCTCTGTTAATGTACCCACCAACGAAACCCATCCAGCTATGTCCTTGGTCCTGGGCCCAGGGTGGGACTGTCCCTGTCCCCCGGTTGTGATCCAGCAGGGGAGGCAGACCTGGAGTCCGTGCCAAGCTGGACATAGCCCAGGGGTCAGCAAGCAACAAAGGGGGGCCCTGTCTCTACCTAGGAGAACCAAGGGGAGAGTGGTCCCATGCACTGCTTTTACCCCCCACACAGCTCCGCCTCCCAGGGCTCTGGAAATTTTCCGTTTCTTTTCTGGAAATTTCTGCCTCGACCCTGAACCAGACACCATTTCGTTCCTGCTTTGTAGCCACTGTCACCTACCTGCTCTTCCCATGTTCAGTGTCCTCCCTCCCATCCCTTCTTGCACCAAGCCAGAGTGATAGAGCATGTAAAGCTGGCTTGTGACTCCCCCCGCCCAAAACCCTTCCATGGCTCCCAGGTGCCCTCAGAGTAGAGACTAAACTTCAACAACAGAGTTCAGTGATTTAGGTCATTTGACTGGTTCAATTGACCTAAGAGGGCTCCTCCGCTTACCCTATGAATTTAGGCAAACCACTTCAATGCCTTAACTGCCCCATCGGTAAAGGCCACGAAATAGCGGCCTTCCTGGGTTGTGAGGATGAAGTGGGTGATCGTGCAGGAAGATAACGTGTAAATCTCTTAGTACGGGGCCTTCCACAGATCAAGCGCCCTGTGTTAGATCTGGTTATCTATCACTCCTTCCATATCCCTCCGGGGCACACCCCTGAGGTCCCTGCGCGGTCTCCACTCCCCCC